CGGAGCCTCAGGGCGCTGTGCAGGGCCAGGTAAAGGGGCCCTGAGGGGGCGCGGGGCCGCGGGAGGGACGTGCGAGGATGTGTCCCGAAGGTACGGGCGCGGGGTTCCCGGGTTTGTGGAGGGGTCCGGGTGAAGCCGCGGCGGTGACGGGACGGGGAAAGGTCTCATCAGGACGAGGGGGGTTCGGGGAAGGATGTGGGGAGGGATGGGAGTGATGGCAGACTTTAACGTAACCTCAGCTCGGTTCACGAAGGATGTTGGTTTCTTGGAGTTCAGGCTGGCACGAAACCGGCTGGGTTGTCTTGTACACGGTGCTGAGACCGATGAGGTGCATCTAAGGCGATATTTTAGCGTGGGTTTTTATAAGTCAGAAATTACCCTTTTCTCATGTTTTCAAAGTTTATCCTTCTGATGAGACCAGAAAGGAGTTTTCCTGTCACTTAAATGCTTAAGTGCATGTGAAAAGCATGGTGGACTGCTCGATCACCTTTTCTGTCTGTTTCTTCATTTGTTTGGTTGGCTTTTCTTTTGAACGAGTCAGTTACTAGTTAATATATGTATACATACATATATGAGTATGAATATATATATATACAGATATATATGTGAATATACATATTATATATATGTGTAAATATAAAAATTCAAAAATGAAAATAAATGTGCTTGCATCTTTCTATATGTTTTTATCTGTATATGTAACTATATGAACCTTTGACTATAAATGATGTTTAGAATTACTTTCATACATTCAAACAACGGGAGTGTTGCATTATTGAAAATTAGACTGGAGATATATAACTTAACATCTCAATTTTTTGTTCCCTTTTTCTAGTGCTTGACCTGTAATACAGAGATCTTCCAGAATGCTGGAGTCCTATGTAACTCCTATTTTGATGAGTTATGTGAATCGCTACATAAAGAACTTGAAGCCTTCAGATCTGCAGTTGTCACTCTGGGGAGGAGATGTTGTGCTTAGTAAACTTGAATTAAAGTTGGATGTACTTGAACAGGTATGTTAGGTTTATAGCAGTTACAGCCCATGTCTTTGGTTTAAAAGAAGTTGGCTGAATTATTTCAGATTGGTGTGCACAGCTAAGTAATAGCTTAGTGCTTGCTGGTTCTCTTCTTATTCAAGTATTTTTTCCCCCTGCATTTAGTTATTCTTGCTTTAATTTCATGCCATTTGTCTAGCAATGAATGGTGATTCTTTACACATTCTGTAAGTTATGGAGTGTGAAGAGACGCTTCTTTGTGGACATGTTTCTTCTTTCAGTAACTATTGTTTTACAGTATGAACATTAATTGAATTGCTTTTCCAATTATATTTACTAATTACATATAGTAACTAAGTGGAAAGGTCACAAAGTAAAGTGGGATCTCTTTTTAATTATGCATACTAAACCCACTTGTGCTCTTGGTATTGTTTTCTGACTCCAGATTTCATCATTCTAGTTGTATCTAAACTTAAGAATAATTGAGGAATAGATTTGATCATCTGGTTTGTGTGGATTAAATCAGAGACTCAGTGAAACTTAGCCTTAAAACAAGGAGCTTGACCAAGTAAAACACTAGATAGAGCATTTGGAGCCTGCTGTCAATATGAACTGGTAAAGCTTTAGCACAGCGATGGTTTCCTTTTATACTTAGCTGAGTTGATAACTTGAGTGTGTGAGACTGATAATGCTGCTTTCTGTTGTGCATGGAGTAGCAGGGCTTACTTGCTTGGAGTCCTGTGGCCAGATGTAGTCCAACCAAGTTAAAGAACTGAGAAAAATGCAGCAAAGAATGGGGAATTCAGACAATACATCCCTTGAAAGAAGAATAAAATATATAAGTTATGTGTTTTTAATATTGACTAAAATAAGGTGAGACAAGAGAGGGAAAGAATTATTTGGATCTGCATTGAATAAATTGCATGTTGGGAGACTTAGGTTAGATGTGAAATGAAATCTCATTTATGTGTTGGATTATGAGATATTGGAATAGGCTGGAGTGACTGCATGTCTCTATTGGGAGTGCCTTTTAAAATGTGAAAGAAATTAACATATGGTTAATTAGGACTCTTGATCCTGTTCTGGAAGAGGAGACAGTCTTGCAACAGATCTTGTCCTGTTTTCTGTGCTTTTTAAAGAACATTACATGTCTTCCTTCAAGTGTTTCACTGTCTCAGTATTTTCTCTCAAGTCTATTGATTGGTACATCTTGTCCATACAGCTGATGTTCTGTAGCTGAGGTATTCCCCTGTCAGCCTTTTAAAATGTATATGAACAAAAAAGGGTTGATCAAAAAGGAGTTCTGGAGGTCATCTAGTCCAATCTTCTGTTCTGAGCAGGGCTATTGCCAGCATTATGTCAGACCAACTTGTGCTTTCCTTCAGCTGAGTCTTGAAATCTTCTGTCTTGTGAGAAGCTCCTCTCTGGGTAAGCTGCTTCAGAGCTCTCCTGTACAGAGAGGAAGTTTGTCCTAATAACAAATGATGATTTGGGATGAATATATCAAACTTGTTATGTTGCCTGACACTGTAAGAATTTTGCTGCTCTCACTGGTGGTGTTCCCTTTCTAGTAGTTGCAGTTTGCTAGTAGGTGACCCCTTGCTTCATCTTTGTCTGCCTATGAACTGTGTTCCTAAATATCCAGCCCAACCTGATAATGTCATCTCTCTTGTAGTAGCAAATATTGCCATATGTACCTGTGCTCATCACTTACCAGTTTGAATGGGAATGTGAATATGTGATGGATGCAAAATTTAGCTCAGATTCATTATTATAACATTATTTGGCTGGGTGTTTGTGAAATGTAGTTATCTTCATTTGGCTCTTACTCTTCCGAACTTGTCTGGACCTACAGACTGTATTTAGAGTGTTTTCCTTTTAGTTTTTTTTTGTGAAGGAGATGCTGTTTATTTCTGCTCAGCAAAACTCTTTGAGTGAGCAGTATGTAGTAATGCAAAGTCCTAAAGCCCTTGCAGCTGGCAGGAGCTCCCTTGAAAAATTAGTCTCTAAAAATTACCAGTATATATCATTTTAGTTGTTCTCTTCTTGGATGGATTCATGATACCCAAAGTTAGTCCTCTTAACTGCTCTGCTCTTGTAACACTGTTCTATACTGGGTTGTGATCCCCATCCTGATTCCCTGCTCCTTATTTGACATGAACACAGCTTTAATTTCATGCTTCAGGTTCTTAGATACAAATACAGCTCTCCTGGATCTATTTCTCTAGAGCTTAAAACATTTTAAGAGAATTAGATCTGTGGAGTTATACCTGGCTTTTTGGGAATGTTAGCATTCTAACTACCCGGACGAAGCACTTTATAACAGATTTGGGAGCAACTGTGTGCTTCCTGCTCCATGCACTTTAGCTGATCTTGGTGCTCCCATGTCATGTTGTGCTGTTATGAGCCACCAAACAGAATCCCAAAGGGCAGATGAGAAAAAGCATAAACTGCAGTTTGTTTTATAGAAGATTTTAATTTATTTTTGTGACCAAGTTGGAACCAATACCTCTTGAAATCAAATGAAATACAGTTGTTAACATGGAAAATTTACTGTATGTGAAGGGAATGTTCCAACAAGACCTGAAAATACTTTGCATTTTTTTTACATATAATTATGTAAGTTTTATGCTCTCATTAAACTAAGCTGAATGTCACTGTAATAACTCTTAGGGCCTGTCCTTCTTTCTATCTCTTTTTTGTACAAACCAGTTCTGTAGTGGAAGTCAAGTATTAGTTTGTACTTGAATCTTCTAGGTACAGTGTAGCTTTTGCATATAATTGTGTCACTCTCTGAATAGCCAGTTGATTGATTTTATAATAATTATCTTTAGTTGAAGATTAAATCTAATAAAATTTTGATATTTTTTCCTATCCTGAATGATTCAATTACTAGAAGACTAAACGTTCCAAGAAATTTTCCATCTGTAAATAATAAGCACATTGTACAAAAACTAGTTCAAGAAAGTAATTTGTAATAAAATGTTGAAACTAATACTTGAAATTTGTTAAATAATGTTTTTAGGAAAAGCGTTTCAAGCATTTTTGTCAAGTTTTGTGTGAAGTCCCCATAGTATCAGAGGTAACAGAACTACTGCTGAACTTGGTAACTAGCTTGTGTGTAGTTTATCTGTTTACATAGTGATGCCAAAAAGATAATGTACATCGTGATCTCTTCTTGCTTCTTGTGTATATTGCCATAATTAGATTTTAGCTGTTTTGCAAATGCAGAAGGGAAAGATTAAGTAGTCTTTGGAAGACAAAGGATACCTTGATCTAAAGATTATTGAATTTTGTTATAGTGTGGATCTTTCCTATCCTACCTAGGCAAGGAAGTTGTATAGAAAGAAACATGAAAAATTTTAATGTACTTAAAATAATTTTAAGGAAATAGGAGCATTGAAATATCCTTATTTTAAATCTCTGTTACATGCCACTGGGTTACTTATGAAATACAGGCTTGACTGTGAAGAAGAGTTAAAAATGATGTGGCGAACAACTACTTGCCTATCACCCCAACTTTTAGAGTAGTCTTGTGTTTTAGAGCAAGGAGAGATGTTAGGCAAAGGGGAATTACTATCATTACTATCAAGACTAGTCTGCAGTCTTACATGTTAGTCAGTTTTTTAAGGGTCAAGCCCAGAATTTTTGTTTTAGTCATATATATTTTTGTGAAAGATTTATATGATTAAACGTAAAATCTAAAATGTGAAGTCTAATTGGTCATGGGTATAGAAGAAATATTAAGGATTTTAAGCAGTACTTAATAAAAGGAGAAAGATTGCATAGGAAACAGGGAGGAATAAATTTTTTTTTTATGTTGTGTTATGAACAAGTTACTTTATTTGGTACAGATTTGTATTGTCTACTGAACAATACAACAGAGTTCTCTGCATTGCTTTATTCTAATTGCCCTAGCTGTAACTAGGACAATGAGTTTCCTTAATGTCAGATGACATTTGTATCTAAATTTCCTTTGAAAAATAACTATCTTCTAAATATGTTGTGCATTTGCTTTTATCACCTTTATTTTGAAATAATTCCTACTTCTGTTTATTTCAATATCTTGCAATTAACTAGACAAAAGTGAGAATGTGTCAAATCCATCCAGCAAATAGTAGAAAAACAGCTTTTCTAGAATGCCTTTTGAAGTAAATACAAGTCAGGATCTAAGTAAACATTGTGGTATTGATGAGTGACAAAAACTTGCCAATCTACAAGTCCAGAATTTATTTCTATTATTGTTAACAGTAGTAGTTTGCTGCCTTGATCTCTGAAGGCATTGTCTCTTAAGTTTTAATGTATTTTTAGATTGCATGTTTTTTCTATCATGTAGAAAGATCTGTAGCTAAACAGCCTGATATTTGCTTTTCAGTGTCTTAACTAAAACTTTCTGGATGAAAATGTTGTTTGAGACGCTTGTGAGCCTAGGGCTGAATTTTTAGGAGAGGCTTTTGGCTAAAATCCTGAAGTGTAGTAGTGAATGAGATGAAGAAAATACACTTTGTCAAAAAAAATTAACAATTTTCTTTGAACTTGTAATGAGAAAGTCTGAAACTGTCAACTCTTAGGATGAGGACTTGAAATTAGATGTGACTTTGTGTAAGCATGGCTGAAGAAGGAGTTGAGATTTTTTAGTATAAGATGGGCGTGGGTTTTTTTAAACTTAATTTATCAGTTTCATTAAGGCCCAAAAACTAATTTACAAACTGAAAGCTGTACTTGGCAAAAAAAAAAAAATAGAGCTATAATTTTGTGTAGTTTCCTCTTCTGAAGATTTTTTTCAGAAAACATACAATTTTTTTCAGTGAGCATGCTATACTCTTAGCTCCTGGATACAGGATAAACTTTTTATAGTACCAGTAGAAAGATTTAGGAGGTATCAGCTGCAGAATGGGGGAAAGTGTTCCTTAAAATCGCTCCTCTTAGCAGCTGCTGTTGCTGTGATGGTGTAGGTATTGGTAAGAATAGTTGACTTGCCTCTAGGCATCCCCAAGACTCTGTCAAGATGCAAACCTGTCATAGGTGTAAATGGTGGTTATTTCAACTCTGAACTTAAGATATGGTAACTACTTAAGGAAATAAAACTTTCTGAGGGGGCTTTCAAAACATCTCACTAAGATTTGATTATATATTAATTATTCATGAATTTATCATGGTATGTATTTATTTAAATATATGTAGGCAAAAAAATTACATGAGCTAGCTTCACAGAAATATTGTATAGGCATACTTGAAGACATTATAATACATATCAAGTAGTAAATTCAAAATGCCTTTGTCCCCAGATTTTATTAATGTAGAAGTTCTGTACAGCAGGGATAGTTCTGGGTCAAGCAGTGCAGGAAACAAGGCTTTCTGGATCCACTGATAGATGTTTGTCTGAAATTCCCTAGCAACTTGCCTGCTTGATTTCTGAGTTTCGTGGATCTTCTCTGTGTGACATCTATTCATTCACGGGAATTCTGAGTTGAATGAAATGTATGTACCTAAGCTGAGCCAAGGGGCAAAGGTGCTTAAGCCCTGGCTTGCCAGGATAATTCTGGAGTCCTGAACAAAGGTTTGTGTTCCTGAGTTTACCAAATACAGCCAAGAACCTGTGTGTGCTGGTCAGGCTCAGAAAGAGTCAGCAGTGCACCCTGGCAGCCCAGAGGACAAACCCCTTCCTGGGGTGCATCAATCTCAGCATCACCAGCCGGTCACAGAGGTGACTGTCCCACTGCACAGCCTCGGTGCGGCCTCACCTTGGGCTCTGTGTGCTGCTCTGGGCCCCACAGCTGAAGAGTGAGGGTAAAGGATGAGAATGTGTCCAGAGGAAGGCAACAAAGGTGATGAAAGGGCTGGAGGCAATGTCCTGCTTGAAGGGACTGAGAACTTTGGATTTGTTTCATTTGGAGAAAAGGGAGCTGACAGGTGGGTGACCTCACAGCTCTCTACAGCTTCCTGAGGAGGGGACATGGGGAGGGAGGTGCTGAGCTCTTCCCGCTGGTATTCAGGGATAGGATAGGTGGGAATGGTTCAGAGCTGTACCAGGGGAGGCTTAGACTGGACATTAGGAAGCATTCCCTTACTGAGGGTGGTCAAACACTGGAACAGGCTTCCTACAGGAGGTGGATGTCCCAAGCCTGTCACTGTGTAAGAGGCATTTGGAGAATGCCCTTAATAACATATTTTGCCTTCTAGTCAGCCCTGACTTGGTCAGGCAGTTGAACTATGTGGTCACTGTAGGTTGGCCAAAACTGCTTCCCTGCATCTAAGAGACTTAGCTTCACTTACTTCTCAACCCGAGAACGTACTACACCTGTAGTTCCCAGCATCTAAGATGATGATGAAAGCACCAGGCTATAAACAGCTTGAAGATGGGTTGTTTTTTCTCCATCAAAGCTTTAAAACTTGATAATAAAATATCAGAATACGAGACTAGAAAGGTGAAAAGATGAAGCATCCCTGAAACCTGAGCATAAGAATACTTAGTATCGAGAATGCTTACTTAAAATTCTAACATATCAAATATTGCTTCTTTATTTTGCAGTAGGCAATTGTTTTCATTATTCCAAATCTTGATTGCTAGTCCTGAGACTGCCTTCTAGCCTTCTGTTGGTTAAGTGACCCTTCTGTTGGTTAAGTGTTGAACTAATTTTTTGTAGAACACCTGTAGCTACTGGGAAATTGCAATACTTTGTATTGTATGTACACCAATTTACTTAATTGGGTCTTTTTAATCTAAACTTTGGCACCCTATTTCCTTCTGAATTGCTGCAAGCAGCAGCTGGTTTGCTGAGGCTGTCCTGCAGAGTTGTAATCTGTGCTGGATGGAGTGCCCAGGCATTTGTTAGAAGCTCTGGACTGATTTGTACAAGTTTTGAAAACAGTGAGACATCTACATTAGACCTTGTTGTGCAGGAATCTGGTTTTGCCAATGAAAAATGTAATAACTTCATATTTACTAAGCAGTTAGATGTGGAAGGGGCAACAATGGCCCAGTCTTAAGAGAACTGAGCTCTTAAAACTCTTAAGCACTAAAATATTTTGAAAGAAATTGCCTTTCTGGCAAACACTGGCATTGTCAGTGTTTAATTCCAAATTTGTGCTCTTCACAGTAATACTGATTGCATATCAGTGTATTTATTTTCACGTTGTTTGTTTCTACTTGTACCTTGAATAGCAAAACATTTTGCAGTAGCCTCATGTGAGAGAGCGGTGGTTTTAAACTATGTTTTATTATCAAGGACATGGTAATCCAAATCCTTCAAATAGACTAATTGTGACATAATCGTGCAAGTGATTATAAAGGCAAATGTCTTGAGGCGCACTGCTGATTAGGGGAGGGAGAATAACTTTGGACTTGTGTTGTGATAGAACTTTACTATTTTGAGTAAATGTGTCTGGAATTTTGATGTTTCAGTAGTTAATTCTGTGCTCTTTGTTGTTGTTAGGAGCTGAAACTGCCATTTACTTTTTTAAGTGGGCATATTCATGAGCTTCGGATTCATGTGCCATGGACGAAACTGGGATCAGAACCAGTTGTCATCACTATCAATACAATGGAATGCATCTTGAAGTTAAAGGATGGGGCTCAGGTAAGAAGTGTGATGAATGCTTTTCCAACATTGTGAGCTTGAGAATAAGAGCTTCTATAGGTCATCTTCTTGAAAGTCTTCTGAGGAATCTGGCATGTGAAGTTGGGACTTTTTATTCTTTGAGAGGTTAATATTTTTCTTCTTTTAATGGCTAATATCTTCCTTTATGCTTATTTTTAAACTCTTTATTCACTGTAGCTGTGTTCTTGCAGATGTGAAAGCGAGTTAATAGTGCTTTATCCAGTTTTTCCTATGACCAGGGAAGAAATGGATTTCAAGAACCATACAGCATGCTTGAGTGTACTTGGAAGAGTTCTTGTATGTAAGGGTCATCAGGTTTTTTTATTTTAGTTTCATACAAGAATTTGTGCATTAGGCATTTTCATGGGCTCAGGTAAGGTTTCCTTCTGACATAATGAAGCTGAAATATGCAATGCCTCAATTTTTGTTATATGTCTGACTTAGTTAACCAAAAGTACTTGGTTATGTTAATGTTGAACTTGTGGGATTTTTTTAATCAGCATGGTATTTTAATTCTAGAGAGGCTTACAAGTTTGTTTTACTTGTTGGATTTTTTTAAAGCCTTGTTCATATTTTGATTTCAACAGCGCTTCACTTACAATAAGGATCATGCAAACAAAAATTAGTTTGTGAAAAACTGAAGTGTTTGGTAGGATGCTTGATGACCTGTTAACTTTTAACCTCAATAACTAGACAAGGCAGTAAGAACATGGGAAAACACTTTCCTCTTGTTTGATATTTCTTGATACATTGATACAAGAGCTAAGAGGCTTTTTTGCTGAAGTAGAAATCTCTAGTCCTAGCCACCCACCGAGGACATGCTTGCGTTCTGTAGTTAATCTGTGTGCATATGTGGATGTGCATATATACACACCAGCAGCCAGATATTAAGTACTTTTCCAATGTTAAGGTAAGCTTTTGAGACCAGATGTTCTATAAGAAGTGTGTTTTTGGAAGCAGCAAATTGCAACTAATTATGAGTTGCAGAAAAAGATTTGCAGCCCATGACTTTGTGCAACCCAGAACTAATATTTGATATTGGACCTTGCAGATGGCTACTGCTGAAATGATCAGGTTTCCTGCTTTCGTGGTATTTGAAACTTAAACTTTGTGGTGCATACATCAAAAGGTCAAGTGTCATGAATGTAAAGCACTCTCAAAACAAGTATTTGTTACAGATGTTTAAGATTCAGAGGCAAGAAAAGAGTTTTGAAAATTGCAACTGACATTTGAACAAATTATTCATTGGTATGTATGCTCAGGAGGGTAAAATTTGGGTCTGTGCCATAGAAGGATTATCTTTGACTCGCAAGAATGTGGATGAAAACACTTTTATGCTGTTTTCTGAGGATATGATTTAAGAAGTTGACAGGTTGAATTTTATTTTTTGAATTACGATTTGAAAGTGTTCAAAGCATGGCAGTGTATTTGGCTAAAACCAATTGTCATAAATTTTTTTTGTAATCAGTGAATAAAAAATATGAACGAAATGAAATATTTCTGAGGAAAATGGTAGTAAAATGAACTTTCAGCAACTTTAGCTCCAGTTGGAACAGTTCTGCCAAGAACTTCATGTCAGTGAAGAGCATAATTAGCAAGAAAACTTAGTTTAGTACTCAAATTGATTGGCTTGACCCTGTATTTCCTTCCTCAGGTGAGACCTCTAATGAGCACAGGCATAATTTCACCTGAGCAAAAAATGAAGTTCTTGACCTCAACTTAATGAGATGTGTTTTCTTTGGAAAGGTGCTATTTCAAACAATGTTTCTATTGAAGGTGTATGAAGATTAAAATACATGTCATTGTTTGAAGCTATTGTCCAGTGAACCCTACAGATTTTATAAAAAAAGGAAAGACAGGGTTTTGCTTGTTTTTGAAGAGTATTAGTTCCCTGAGGTGCTTTTATATAATATATATGTTTTACTGTGATGCTGTGTCATTGTTAGTTCAGCGTCAGTGTTAGTTTAGTTAAGTTTTTTTGTTGCTTATGCTATTGCAGCATCTCCTCAGCTAAATTTGGATTAGACAGTGATGGCTCAACTAATAGTTTTATGCAAAAATTCTTTTTCTAAGGCAAACTGTTGTATAAGTGGTAAGTTCACTTAATGATATACAAAATCCATAATTCTGTAGTATTAGTATTTACATTTTGAAGGTCTTTGCTTTCCCTTTTTCTTCTGTGCTGTTTTGCTTTTTGTCCTTTTCTACATCTGATACTATTACTTCTAAAACCCAAATGTTAAATGTGGATACTTTACAAGAAAATTAAACTGAAGTGCATCAACTTTGCAGTGAATAAAGGGGTGTTCTACTGAACCTGCTTTGTATGTGCACTTTTGGTTATGATTTTGGTTAGTGTCAGTACTTGAAATAGAATTTGGCTGTGAGGTGTTTCACATTGCTTTTTCATCTCTGTTAGCCTAATGCAACTGTGCCTGGCTATTTTTTGCTCTTGAATTAATCTTCTGCAGCACTGAGTTTTAAGTAGGAGCATTTGTAATGTTCTCAAGTATGTTGTTATGATTTTTAAATCTATTCTTTAACACTTTAATGTGGTTCTGAAGTTTGCTTGACTCAAGTTATAGTGATTGACTGTCCTGACACTGTTCTCTATGAGTGCTATATTTTGTTTTAGAAAGTGGTTAAAGTTCCAGTATTTTATATTTTTCTCATTACCTATCTCTATATATTCAATCTCTGGGCTTCATGTGGAGTTGAAAACACTTTTTAAAATCTCTGTTGGTTGCTGTTTTTCCTCCAAGAGATTTTCTCCCTTTGTCCTGTTGGACTGTTATTAACTCTTTTCTACACATTTTTTTTCTTTTTTTAAATTCTTTGCTCTTTCTCCTCCTCTCTCAGTGCTAAGATACCTCCATGCCTAAACCAGAGGCTTAAAATTCAGGCAGTGCAAATCGGGAAGGACAAGCCTGTAGGCCTGTGTCTGTTTTTTTCACCTTCTGCAGTTATAACTAAGGTCAAGACTCTTCTTCACGCTCACCCTTTAATTCTGTGGGTTTTTTGTCTTGGAGTTGATGCAAATGAGGAGATCAAGGAGAAATGTGCTATTTGTATTACCGCTTCAGATTTGAGTCCTTGCCTTTAAGCAGAAAACAGTACACTAGATATGCTGATGTATATGAAGGTTGTCTGTGCTCCAAGGGTAATTAATTGTAGAATTGGGGAAGACTGTTATGTTGAAGCACTTAGAGAGGGACAGGGAAACCAAGCAGTTTGGATCCGCATACAGATGGATGAGCACTGCTCCTTTCATGAGGCATTACAAAGAAAGTTGTGAAGGAATATAATAACTTCGTGAAGGCAGTGGAGAGCAGCCCACAATCATGACTGTCAGAATACCAGACGTATTCTTACCTGACAGCTGGTAGAGACTGCCACCAAAGAATGCTGGAAGCAGAAATTGGTCTTGACCGAGAGATGATTGAGATGGGAGATAAGGTATGTTGACAGATTATGAAGGACTTTGAAGGTGAAGACAGAAGGCTTGTGTTTAATGAGAGTATAGTTATATGAAGTCTTTGCTTAGGTGGTTAAGCTAGCTCCAGATCTGAAGCAGTGCTTCTGAGTGTTTTTTCCTTGCCTGGGTGGTAACAGCTCAGTTGAATGTGGCTATATGGACAAGCAGTGCTGTTTTTTCCATTTGAGTCTGTAAGTCTGTTGTTATGTGACAGCAGAAATATGGTAGAACTTGGAGTCAGAAGACTTAACTAACAGTCTTTAGTGGCTCACCTTTATACTTTTTATTTGCTCATGTGGAAACTCAAGGTCCTTATTTTTAAAATAAATTTCATTTGGTACTTACTTCCATACTAATATATTTAGTTCAGTAAATCTGATACTGAGTTTTAATTTAAGGTGATGATTATATTGAGAATTGCTCTGTAGGAAGCAAACTGTGTTATCAGCTAATGTTGAATCATATGAAGTTAAGGATGAATATGAAATTCCTCTTAAGCAGCCAGTTCATGATACTCTTATTTGTGTTTTAATAAAGTACTGTAACAAAAAAAGAGGATTTTATGATTCTGTATGTGCATGCATACAAATTAGTGTATATATGAGTAATGAGAACAATTTTCCATATTATTTTGAATTTAAACAAATTGCTTTGTGCAAATCAGACTGTAATTTAGTGTTTTCCAAAGGTTTAGGAAGGCTTGGCAGAGTCTTTTGTTGGGTTTTGTGCCATTTTCTGTCAAGAACTCCTGTCTGAAGAGTTCTTGTGTTTTCTATGAATTGCTTTATGTGAACAAAAGTGTTTTAGGTAGGAGGTTCTCTTTCAAGGATTTTATCCTTTTAAGGGATAAATGTCATGCCCCACAAATGTCTTGCAAAAACATTTAGTAAACTTACTCTTTCAATAGAGGAAGTAGTAGACTGCAACAGGTGCTAAAAAAGGCTTTGCAGCATTTGAATCAGGCACTTTGTTGTCCTTCTCCAGTGATTTCAAATGTGAGGCTGAGGAGGAGATGAGCAGCTTTGCTTAAAGCTGGCTAAATACTCACATGTACTAGCTGGGCACGCAAGGGTGACTGTGTCAAATTTGCCTATTTTTGTTCCTACTAACCATTTTAATAGACTTTAAAAGCAAAGCATCCAATACTTTAGATTGCAGTAATTCTGCAATTCTTAAGTAGTTCTTAAGAAAGAAGAAATTGCCTTTGTGAATTTGTTTGATGACTCCTGCAGGTGCATTTCTTAATACTCTTGCTGTAGGAGTCCTGCCACTGCCCTTGTATTGCCTCAGTCATAATACCTTTCTTGTTTACCTCAATGCCTATTAACGTGTTCCTAATTTTGGACAGTTTTCATGTGAGTTTGTCAGTATATTTCTATTTGAGTCTTTTTCAGGGCTAAATAATGGTGATTTCAAGTGTCTGAAACTGATTACTGTGAAAGGTACGAGTGATCCTGCTTGATTCCTTCTGTGCTTATTCCTGGCTCCCAGGACATCTTTCAGT